TTGTTAATATTCACAATTTTAGCCGTCCAAAGCACGCAAAGATGAAGAAAAAAAAGAAAGTCAAAATGATAAAACAATCTTAGTTAAAAATTAAATGCAAAAAGAATATGGCCAATATAGCAATGACAATTTTTAGTATTTTATATACTGAAACAAAAAAAATTTGCAACTCATTGAATCCGTTCTGCTTATTCAAAAAAAAAAAAGTTTAATTAAAAGACAGAAAGAATCTTCCAAAAACTTGTGCATCTATTATCCATAAAACAAAAATGATATCCAACTATCAGCATATATATTTATTTAAAGAACTATTGAAAAATTATGAATAATAATAAAAATTCTTATCCATGTTTTGTTGAACAAAAATATATATAGAAACAACAAATATGCGCAAACCAACACCTATACACATACACATCACAAATATTAACAAAATTCTTAACAACACCTCTTTTTTGAATCTTCAGTAAAGAAAAATATTATCAATGCATTTTGATGATGTACCGATGTACAAAAAAAAAAAAAAGAAAAAAAAACACACTTAAGAAGAACATAGAGATGCTGTAGAAAACGACGAAAAAGTAGAAGGTGGAGAAGAAGAAACTGTATCTGTAAAAGTTGTTTTTGTTGTTAACCAAATGAATAAGAGAATGATAAAAATTTCTTGTCACAATTCCGCCAACAATATTACGAAGTGCAACGGAAGAAAATAAACAACACCCCCTTTCCCATCCCCTTCAACGAATTGCATTACTTAGAATCTTCTCAAAATAAAGAAATACTGCAGCTTTTAAAAAGCAATAAACAGTAAGACTGTTACTGTATAAATGCATATAAAAACTGTTTAAATTCCATATGAATGATACTCATCGAAGATTATACATTTGCAATAAAAAAAACTTAATTGAAACTCCATTGAAACTTTGTTGTCCTCTTCTCGTCGCTCCTTGTGCCCCTCCTCCCCCACTCTTCAGATGAGCAGCTAAAAAATAATCGAATTTCAAAGTGATCTATGTAACTGATACTTCGAAACCAATTCGGGTCACAGATGAATGAAACGGAAAAAATAAATGTGAAACCTAAACGACACTTCGCTTTCCTCATCGTCAAATTTATCCATTCCCAGACCACTCATCAGTGTAATTAGAAAAACAGTAAAACAGAATTGAAGCCTTGACGAGATAAAGAAAAAATTTGCAGACTGTTTAGCAGTTTCAGAATAAATACAAAGAAATCCCGGAGAAGTTAATCAATATAGAAAGATTTTAGCAAAATTCATAAGAAACGCCCCGGAAAAATATAAATTTAAAAAATGACTTCAAAACAGCAATGGTAAACCATTTAATTTTTTTTCATTGAAAATAATTTTTTTAATCAGATATCAACCATCAAGATAAAGGAAATTAAGAAAAAAAGCTGTTTTCTTCATTCCATCTTTCGAAAAATTACATTTTTGTTCAACTAAATTCAACAGATAAAAATTGACTTTAATCGCTTAATTTCCAGCTATAAACGAAGAAAAATGATTTGCCCACAAGTTAACGTCCGGAAAGCAATCTCAAAACAAGACTTTTCTCATTTATAGAATTAGCCTCCATCACAAAATATAAGTACACGTATTGTTCTCACCATTTTTCGACTTTGCCTATTAACATCAACGACAGCGATGAAGACGACAACATTCGCAACACAGTCATTACAGATATGAAACTCTTAACAAAAATTTTTTATCAACTTTTTCGCAAATTTTCAAACCGATTTTCAACTGCCGACTAAAACTTAAAGTAGTTGCCAACTTTTCTTTTCTTTAATGAAAAAGAGAAGAAAAAATTAGCTTTTTTTTTTCAGAGAATCTAAAAAACGAAGAAAATGAAATGAAAGAACAAAGCAATTTCTTGCAGTACCAAAGATCAACTGAACGTGATTCTGACGTATACCAACAGAAGAAACAGAAACACTGCGAAGAGGTAGAAAACAAAACCACCAGCATCCAAAATTATAACCAATTTTCAGCTGATGTTACCATCTGTTCTCCTTCTTCGTCCAGTTAAACACTCCTTTCTCCCAGCTCCCCCCTCCCCCACCCCTCAGACTACCCCACCATTCCAAACTCCCCTTTTCTCCCCCTTTTGCAGCCCACATCATAAACATTTTAACAATCTGTGCACACCAACAGCACAATTATACATCTGAAAAAAAAAAACCAAAAAATTACAGTCAAGTAAAACTGCCGTTTTCTCACAGCCAATAATTTGCCGTTAATTTTTGCTCTTATTTCCACCTTTTTTTTTTGTCTTGTTTCAGTCAAGATGAAAAATCCTTAGTTTTCAAATCATAACCGAAATCTTCGCTTTTCTACATTCCTTTCATCCATTTCTTCGTCCTTCTTCTTCTTGCAATTGAAATGTGGCTAAATAAATTTTTTTTTAGCTGACAAATGACTACTTCAAAGGATGAATCATTTACAAGCTGCAGCTTCATCATCATCTATTACGTTCCCAAAAACTCGATTAAAATTCCTCTCAGCTTACAAATGCATCTCATTTTTTCAGCAGAAAAAAATGAATTTGATATCATCAAAAAAACTTTTTGATGGGAAGCTTAAGAGGAAATGGGAAGCGGATTACAAAAAAAATTTAAGAGGACAGTAACTCAGATGCAATTAAAAATTCAAAAATGCAGTTTTTTAGCTGACTATTTCAGTAAAATAAAAAAAAACGGAAAGTTTTCAAAGCCGAAAAAATTAAGTTACATTTTCCTTTCGCTTCTCCCCCTCATTTACTTACATACATTTTTTAAAACATTCTTCATCCTTTTTTACTTATGCTGACTTGTTCGAAAATTTTCCTCAATTTTTCATTTTTTTTCTATTTTCCGTCCGACAAATAACTTATTTCCATTCCCTCATCAAAGGGAAGACGAGAGAGACAAAGTAAGAAAGTGCGAAAAAGTGGGAAGCTTATAAGGAAATCAATGTATAAATTCTGTGTATCGGCTATAAAGCAGTTCGTCCGATTAAGTAAAGTGTACCTTTAAATTGTTTTTTTTCGCTCTCCCTCTTCCCTCCTCCAATCTTTAAGTTCATTTTTAAGATAAATTCAATACATCAAAAAAAAAAAGCTGGCAAATGGTAATTCCATATTCTCCCAATACCAATGATACAACATCAAAAAACTGTATAAACGTGTACTTTAAATGGCACTACTAAATAACCAAAACAACAATACTGATACATATAGACATTTTGAAATCCACAACCAAAAAAAAAAAAAAGAGAAAGAGAACAGTAGGCAACTTGTTTAACAGGAATTTTTTTTTTGTCCCTTCAACTACCGTATGTTCAATAAAAACTCTCAAATAAATTTTTTTTCCTCTACTTTCTATAAACACACAAAAGGAACCATAAAAGAAAAATGGAAAAAGCTGGAAAAATAAGGGAACAAAACAAATAAACCAACATTTCCAACCATATAATGTTAGCCGACCAAATAATTCGTTCGTATGCCACCCCTCCTCCTGATGTAACTACTAGAAGTCGCGAAAAAAAAAAAAGCAGAATCCTAAGTAAAATATCAAAAAATATGTAGTGAAAATGTTAGAAAAAATGGCACCATTGAGAAATGATACCAATTCTGAACATATTCTAGAAAAAACGAATTAAAAATTGTGCACCAATAAAAGCGTCACAACTGAATAAATTGACCTTTTACAAACATCAAATACTGACTCACTGCTACTACTATTATTACTACTACTGCTACGATCAAGAAGAACAATTCTTTATGTCAGGTATTAATCTGAATAGCATTAAAAAGGAGAGAGATAGTGAGATTTAAACTAGATATAAAATACATGAAAATTACTTTTAGATACCAAAAAAATAACGCCAGCAATTTAACATCATCGAGTCACTCTGTTCAACGTACGACATTTTACTACAGATACATCGATACATATGTAACCATCCATTCTCTGCTGTAGTACGTGTTCATATGGGTCACTATACATTTTGGTATATATA